CGCTGGAACGCATCCTGGAGGAGGCTCACCTAAGCGGCGAGTTAATACTGACGAATCGCAAGTTGAAGGACTTTCCGAAAACAGGCACCAAATACAATCTCGCGGATACCGTGATGGCAGGTGAGTGTACGACATGTTATGAGGTACCTATGCAAAATCGTTTACAGGAAGGAACCAATTTCAAAGGGGTGTGGTTAGGAATGTGTGGAATATGCATGCGTCTTATGCTCAATGATTAAGGGAATTATGAAAAAAAAGAAACTTTAAAAATATGTGTCTGGCATGCGAAGCAAAAAATGCATATGCCTGCGAATGTGTAGGTGCTGGCCAGAGTTAAAAAACCTTTATGTTTACTAGTATGCACTACAAAATCCTTTACAACTTTTTCGTTGAAAATGTACCGGCTGTTCATTAATTATTCCAAGAAAAAGTTCAACTTCCTCATTGCCACTTTGAAAAATCAATAAAATGCTTATACATAGCTAACACTTCGTTGTCAGCTGTCTCCATTTCTGTAGCCTTTTCGTACGAAAGCATACTGATTGCAATTATTGCATTTTCTCTTTCTTGCCTGAAAATGAAATTATAATCTTTACCGCAGAACTCCACAGGCGAACAGCGATGGCCTACCAACTGTCATTTTGACGAGCAATGTGATTGCAAGTTTTTGTGTGTGGGCACTTTGATGTCTTGAAATAAGCATTTGCCGCATGACGCCACCAGACAACATTCTCTCAATTTCGGCGTTTAAAAACATTTAAATCTTTAAAAAACTAGCTAAATAATTTCCTAAAACGTAATCATAAATTATCCAATACGGAACAGATTTTTATTTTGATTTAATATCAAAATTTCATCGATGTTACCACCAGCACGCTTTCTTTCAAATGAAAATATGGCTGTCAAACTATCGAATTGCCTGCAATAGATGTCAAGCAATAAGCGCTGACATATATTGCAGCACATAAGAAATAGGCGGTCTCCATTGGAAATATATTTTGTGACATGGTTATCACGACATCAGTGTTTTCCTGTGGAGACAGGGCCTTACATACACAATTTGATATACTTCACTCTACTGGTCTGACCGTTGCGTGCAGAAGAGCAAGGAGACGAGAGCTTTGGTAGTTGAACGTGGCCATTTGTAGTTTACGACCAGCGTTGCCATTTTAGCCGTTTTCCGGCTAGATTTAGCCGGTTTTGATAGCAACTAGCCGGAGAAAATTCGATCTAGCCGGCAGCCGATTTGTTAGCCGGTTTGTAAAAAAAAGTTAGCCGCTTTTAGCCGATTTTACTATTTGCCTAATTTTCAGGTGCAAAAAGTAAACCAGTTGTTCGAAAGCAATAATGCAGACCCAATGAAGATTTTTAATGAACTCAATGTTTTACTTTCGCATCTATGCTCCTAGTGGTTATTAGCGCGGACACATTTGATCCTATATGCTCCCCGTTGGAACCATACCTTGCTCCATTTCCTCAGTTTTATCACAGTTTTGAAGAGTATTTAAAAACAAAAGTAAGCACAAACGCTTTTGACCACGAAGCCGAGAAAATAATTCGAGAAAATGGTCGCTATTTTATTATCACTTTAATAATATTACTTTAATAATAAAGGAATTACGCCAACGCCTCCCTACAAATATTGCCACACTAAAAAAAATTGACTTTTTTCGGTTCGAAATGCATTAAGAGTAATTAAACCAAAAGTATTTGTTCAACTACAGCAACAAAAACACAAATATAATGCCGACGAAATAACATCCATAGAGATGTAATGGCAACGGATAACTTTACATACCTGGAGTAATTTAGACTCAACTGTAAAATTTTGGGCCGAAGTTTATCAATTTCGAAATGCCCTAGGAGAAAACCCCTTTTGCTGACCTTTCCAACCTAGTTTTTAGTTTTCTTGTTTTGCCTATAACTAATGCAGAAGTAGAGCGAATATTTAGTTCAATGAATATAATAAAAACCAAGCAAAGAAATCCAATGTGCGTTAAAACGTTAAACGCTATTTTATATATAAGATACGGTTTAAAACGTGAAGAAAAATGCTGCCATAGTTTTACTGTAGATGACGATCTCTTAAAATTAATGAATTCAGGTGATGTATACAATAGTGATTCATTTGATGATGAGGAATATACACTCGATATAAATTAATGGTGTTAACTAGTCTTTCGTTTCTTGCGATTTATTTAAATAAAGCATGTGAATTTTCACTAAAACATTTTAGCCGTTTTTTGCCAGAGCCTATGTGAAATTTCACTAAAACATTTTAGCCGTTTTTAGCCGCTTTTTTTTT